GCGAGAAATCACCCCCCAGGGGGGATGGCCACGCCGCAATCCCTTCTCCTCCGTTCTCCTCTCGGGATCTTGGGCACGCACGCACACGCGCCCGGCGTGAGTTTTAAGCCACCGGGTCCGGGACTCGAACCGCAGTTGACTACATGGGAGTCCAGCCAGGCATGTGTGTATGAGTGCCCAAGATCCTGAGAGGAGAATGGAGGAAAAGGGGTTGTGATGTGGCCATCCCCACTGGGGGGTGATTTCTTACTTTCTGTCTCTCTGTCTCTGTCTGTCTTTCTGGTGAGTGCACATGCCCTATAGCAAAAACCTCTCCAAAAATAAAAATAAATAAATAAATAAAAAGAAACTTACGCAACAAGGAAATTGCTAAATGAGTTGAGAGATTACTGTCAGTTGCAACAAATGTCACCTATTTTTACTTGTAAGGTTAGAAATGACTATTCTTTCCCGTGGGTTTTATATCGTATCCTCTAAATATTTAAAATGCAAATGCGTAATCAGCTAAGTCAGACTGAGAGTTCAGTTCAGGTTTTCGGGATAATCCAGGAGGTCAGAGCATGAGGCCAGGGCTGTCTTTCCCACCTGCAGAGTTAAAGTGCTCGAGGAGAGCACAGAGAGATTTGGTCTGTTGAACACTGCACTAAGTATTAACTAGCTCAAGGTGGCCACAGTTTCAATAAGCGACAGGCCAGGTTCCGCTCAGTGACCTTGGATCTTTGTAAGCAGTTCTGCAGGAGAACCATGGCAGGACAGGAAGCGGAGAGCACATGACCAATCTGATCCCACAGTTTGAGAAGTGCAGTTTCTAATGGGCACATACATTCCACTACTGGATAGCTGTGATAAGGATGAAATAAAAATATTATTTTTCTTTCAATTTACGTATTACTTATTCAAACACCTACAGAGTCACTAGAACATGCACCCTTGTTTGGATCCAATTACTTACAAAGAGGAACCACGGGCTGGGCCGACCGTGAAGAAGTCAGAACACTTACACAAAAGGCCCCGCGAGCCCTGGAGGGTTTGGGAGTTGCCAGGCAAAAATCTTTCTAAGTTTTTCTCTTTTTCTTTGCCAGAGGGTGTGTGTGAGAGAGAGTGAGAACCTGCAGTGGGACCTGCTCATGCCGCAGTTCCTCTCCTCCGTTCCTCCACCCCTTTGGGATTTTGAGGCCACATGCACATGTACCCAGTGTGCTTTTCCATCTGCCCGGGCAGGAGTAGATCCACAGTCAGCCATGTGGGATCTGGGTATTTTCCCTTGGCTGGGAGACCTTATCCTTGGTGTCAGGAAGGAACGGATGACCACGTCTGAGCCCCACACTGTACCCCTTGGCCATGTTTTACTTTCCCGTGTGGCTCACCTATGCGTTTGCCAGGAAGCCTGCTTCACTGGTCTGTCAGACCCGAATCCAGCTCCTCTGCAGTCCCTTCCCTCTCTGCCCTCCTTCCCCATCTCACACACGTGACCCTGTCTCAATGCTGCTTCCACAGACTCAGGACGGCACATTGTCAAGGGGCTGTGGCCTCTCCAGAGCAGTCGGAGACAGCAGATTCTGCTGGACGGTAAGAAGGGTGAGCAAAGGGGTGCCCACCTCACCCCTGGAACAAGGAGCACAAGCTGCTAAGAGACTGGTCGGAGCGGGGCCCTGCTCTGGGATCTCTGTATGCTGGCTGCAGTTCTTCACTTCCTCAAGCGTGTCCCTGACCACTTCCACCAGATAACAAACTTTGTAGGCCCTTAGCCCACCCTGCCCGTACAAGGCCACAGTGCGTTCCCAAGGACAGAGCCTTGGGGACAACCAAGGACAAGACTCAGTCTCTGCCTGTAAAAGTTATGGCATCGAACTGGATATCTACACACGGTTTTCAAAACCCTGGATCTTTAGGATCCTGTGAATGTTTTGTTTTTTTTGTTTTTTTTTGGGGGGGGGGTTTGCTATAGGGCGCGTGCGCTCGCCAGACAGAGAGAGACAGAAAGCAAGAAATCACCCCCCGGGGGAATGGTCATGCCGCAATCCCTTCTCCTCCATTCTCCTCTTGGGATCTTGGGCATGCACGCACACGCGCCTGGTGTGAGTTTAAGTCACCGGGTCCGGGACGCGAACCAAGGTCGACTACGTGGGGGGTCCAGCTACATAGCCATTACGCCAACTGCTGGTTCCCAGGATCCTGTGAATTTTTATGGGAGTGGGATTAGCAACAAAAGAGACCTGGCAATAGCATGAACATTATGAAACTCCAGCAGGATGCATAGAACGGAGCATAAAAACTGAACAAGAAAAAACCAAGGTGACAGATGAACACAAATTAGTGCAGTCCGCAGGGGCTGGCCTTGTACTCCCCAAACGCCAGTATTTGGTAGACGAGCCTGAAACCGCTGTCTCAGACCACTTTAGAAGCTGTTGATGGGAGAACTAAGGTATATGACTGACGTACCTTTGGATTGAAAATCCAACCTCTCCCCTTCGATTCAACTTCATAATAGCCTACCAGGCAGTGTATGTAGCAGTGTACACAAAAGACTCAATGCTGTCTGACTTCACTGCCTCCTTACAAGTACTCGAGCACTTGTGTGCCCATAAATGGGGCAGGGAGGTGGCTTTGTCCTCCTCTAAGGTCACCTGGGCCTGGGCCAAGTGAGTTTGGGTTGGTGATTCTGCCCAGAAGCTCAGTAACCAAGCGGGAGAAAACTGGGCCCCCTTCCTTATCCACAGGTTTCAGTAATCACACCTTGTTACTTACTTGCTGCACTTGTGACTCTTGGTGCCGATGGCCCTGCCTCACTGAGGACTCTGGAGCCAGTGGAAGTCAGAAGGGGTCAGCAGGAGCCAGGGGTGGCCTGGGAGTCACTAGTGCTCCAGATGAACCTGGTCTAGGAGATAAGGAATGGCATGCAGAAACTGGAGCCTAAGGGTAGCTGCTGTTTATATTTTAACCCAGTGATTAAATCTAGCACACAGTCCTCAGGGCAGCTCTGCCCTGGTGATAAGAACTTTAGACTCTTCCGCCCACAAACTGTGAACTATGAACTAAGTCCAGGAGTTACAGCAGCATCCTCATTATTCATTAATTTCAAAGGGTGACAAGGCCACAGTGGGTCCCCAAAGACAACCCTGGGGGTAACAAGGACAAGACTCGTAAAAGTGCCCATGAAAGCGACAGCATCAAACCAGTTATCTGTAAGCAATTTTCAGAACCCTGGATATTTATGATCTTGTGAATTTTTCTAGGAGTGGAACTGGCAAAAAAAAGATCTGGCTTAGCATGAACATTACAAAATTCTGGTAAGATTCACAGACTGGAGCATGAAACATTTAACAGGGGAAAGATGCCATGCCAGCACAAATTAAGAATAAAAAGGGAAGCATGTCGAAACTGCCACACCACCGGCTCATCACAAGGGTTTTGATCCATTGTATACTTAGAGAAAATTGCTATTTAAAAAAAAAATTGGACATACATTATTAAATTTGATTTGTAAAGTTTTTTAAGGGCTAGCAATTGCCCAAGCATCTGTGGGAGGAGCATGGCCTTTGGAGTCGCAAGTTCTGGGTTCAAGGGTTGTGTTCACCAGCTATTGTCAGAGTGGTCTGGGAAACCTGTGACTTTTCTCAGCTTCCGTTTCCCCAGCTGAAAACAGGCATCCTTGGGACCAGCAGATGTCGTAATAGTTACGTCACTGGATTTGCACGTGGTCAGCTGCAGTTTGAGTCGCAGACCCAGCGGCTTAAATTCATGCCTGGCGCGTGTGTGGTCATGCCCAAAACCCCAGGAGGAGAATGGAGTGTGGCCATCCTCCCTGGGGGGTGAGTTCTTGCTTTCTGTCTCTCTCTGTCTTTCTGGTGGGTGCACTTGTCCTAGAGCAAAAACCTCTCTGGGGGTGGGGGAAGGAAAGGAAACTGGCATCCTACTCTCTGCCTCAGGTAGTCACAGCGGGGACCGTGATGACGACGATGAGGATGGTGTCATCGCCAGACCAGATGAGGTGACTTTATCATTTTGTCTATTTTTTAAAAACTTCCAGAGTGTGGCACAAGCTAAAGAGAGACAGAGAGGGACAGAAAGTACCCTCCAGTGGGATGTGGTCACACCACAATCCTGCCTCCATTTCTCCATCCTAGCGGGGTCCTGAGCAAGCAAGCACACATGCCTAGCGTGTTTCTCAAGTCACTGAGGTCAGGACTCGCACCACACAGTCAGCCATGAGGATCTAGCCCCTTAACCACAGGGAATGGGGCTGGCCTCAGATAAAGCGCCTCGATTATTGATTTAAGGTGTTGAAATGGCCCCTTCATGCACAGGGAGTGGGTGGCCTGAAGCAGAGAGAGGCTTCTGGAAGAATGATTTTTTTCCATCAGTTTTCACTGTGGTATAACCATGCCCTTTGACCTGCGTCTGCAGGGCCATGTGTAGCTGCCTATGTTGCTCGTTGAGTGCACCCCTACCCTACGTCCAGTTACTACGTATCTGCCAGGGAGGGCAGGGCCAGCTCTGCTGAGTTCACCTGCCTTCCTGAAAGTGATAAAGATGATAATATTTGGATGATTCAAACTTAATTTCTACCCACAGAAAGTAAACCTTCAAGAGTACCGTTTCTCAAGTGTATTTTGGGGGAGGGGGGCAGAAGTTTTTGCTATAAGGCACGTGCGCTCGCCAGAAAGACAGAGAGACACAGAGAGACAGAAAGTGAGAAATCACCCCCCAGGGGGATGGCCACATCATAATCCCTTCTCCTCCATTCTCCTCTTGGGATCTTGGCATGCACACACTTGCGCCTGGCATGAGTTTAAGCCACTGGGTCCGGGTCTCGAACCACGGTTGAATATATGGGAGTTCAGCGACATAGCCATTATGTTAATTGTTGGTCCCCTCAAGTGTATTTTTAAAAATTAAAACATGTTTGAGATTGAGTCAGGGCCACAGTGAGAGTTAGGGCCACCTCTGGTGTCCGAAAGTCTAGTAGACAGCCACCTACTTTGACGTGTGCTCTGTGCACACCGAGGAGGGCTGTGGCCTTCCCAAGGATGCTGCTAACGTCAGGGAGCACAGGCCTTTCACGTGCTGGCCAAGCATCAACACGGTCACTTTGTCACACCATCTCATTTTCCACAATCAGCAAGAAACTTGTATTAATTAAAAACGAGAAGACTGGCCTTCCGTGGGACCTCTGCTTTCTGTTATTTTTAGGGTTTATTGTTAATTATTTGTACTTGAGGCAACAGGATGGGGAAAACTCTCTAGTGTCCTTAACCAAGAGGACGTGGGCCCAAGAAACCGGATTGGAAGGCAGGTTTTTTTTTTTTAATAATTATTTATTTTATTTTATTTATTCATTCTTTTTTTTTTTTTTTTAATTTGACTAGAGAGAGACAGAGGGTGAGAGTGAGAGAGAGGAAGTGAGAAAGCAAGCCACCAGATTCAGGACTTGAACCCTGGTCGGCCATGTGGGAGCGTCCAGCCCCTTAACCACCATGCCACCTGCTGGTCCCTGGAAGACAGTTGTGTTCTTTAGGATCACGGACTTCTGTCTTCCGGAGTTGTTCCCTTTTGGTCCCCCAGAGGTTGGCTGGGAGCATATAACTAGGTCTGGTCAAAGAACTAGGAGCCAAAGTAACCTCTCCTTTTTGAACCAGAGTATTAAACTGCCAGTACAAGGTCTCATAGAACTTTTTTTTCCCCTTCAGCCTGGTAATCAGTAACTTCCAAGAGGCTGTTCCACTAGCCTAATACCTGAGTGAAGGTATTCAGTGGGCACACACCTGAGGGGGAAATAGCTTTTATTTCAAGGTATTGAAGTTTGGGAATCGGTGGTTAATGCACCGCACCTAGCTCCTGGAGAATGATACACTGCACGGGTGTTTCTTGACTCCTTCATTGTATTTCTAAGTCATCTTCTTAAATCTTGCTCTCCTTTCCTTTATCCTTGCTCTGATTTATATTGAAAGCCATGCCAACTTAGAGCTAAAAGAGAGCCTAGAATTCAGCCTCTGTTGTAATTAGAACAGCACAATTTTTTCTTTCTCCCTGCAGAGACAATGTGAGATAAAGACTACTCTCTTTCTCTTACTCCCCCAACCTCCCACACGCAAAGCATTAAGAGGTTCCCTTCCTACTCAGGTCTTCTCTGTGGGTGCCTGTCTCTGTACTGTTTATTTATTTGGAGAGGTTTTTGTCATAGGGCATGTGCGCTCACCAGAAAGACAGAGAGAGACAGAGAGATAGAAAGCAAGAAATCACCCCCCCTATGGGGGCTGGCCACACGCAATCTCTTCTCCTCCATTCTCCTCTCGGGATCCTGGGCACGCGTGCACACACTCCTGGAGTGAGGTTAAGCCACCGGGTCCGAGGCTCGAACCGCGGTTGACTACGTGGGAGTCCAGCAACATGGCCATTGCGTTAAATGCTGGTCCCTGTACTATTTATTTTTTTAAGTGCTTCTGTTCCTAAAAGGCAGTGGTTCCATAGGTCCCTTCCATACTGAGGCAGTTTTTCTCCTTCTGTGGACCATCTTTAGGATGGAAGCACGAGAGAGGAAGTGGAGGCAGCTCCCAGTCAACTCCAGGCCAATCATCTTGTTGGACATGTGTGTCCTGGCTCTGCAGAGGGTGTTCAGACTCAGCCTGTACCACCTTGGGAGTGCAGTGAACACCAGCCACTGTCTTTTAGAATCACCTTAAAGGTCTTTATACCTTGAGGAGGACTTTTTGGAAAGCCTTCCGCAGTGAGTTATTATAAAAGCTGTCGTATCCCTTAGGGTTCTATCCTGTGTCGGCCTGAGGAGTTCGTAATTAGTGGGAAGCGCTTACGTGGCATCAATTTAGAATAGTGTAGTATAGGGGTGGGCAGTAAAAAGGACTCTGACAACAAATCAGGATTTTTTAACATTCTGATTTTAAGTAGAATGTGATAAGCCTCCTTTGCCTAACGTGCAAGGTTGTGGTGGGGAGTATGTGAGATAATATTTATAGAAGTGCTTTGTAAATGCTGTAGAACCCATATTACTAAACCCCCGATGGTCACGTTTGTTTTTTCTCATTCATCTTGATATCCTCGTATGTTGCACAATGACTGACGTACAGTAAGTAGGTGATTAGTTAATGCTCAATGAGTTAATGAGCTGCAGGCCATATGTTCTTGCTGCAGGGCGTACCCCGGTTCTTCCTGAGGTTACAAGTCTTCCAGTGAAAGTAAGGATTCCTAGTCGACCTCTTCTGTGACACACTGACCTTTAAGAGACTTTTTAAGGCTTAGGCAGTCTGAGAACTTACTTGGAATACACGAAATTTGGTGAGCAGCTGGGATTTCCCCGCCCCTGGGCACACACATCCACTTGCAACCTCTCTCCTTGACCTTTGATTTCTTTTTCATGACCTTCTACGTCTGCGTCTGCTCTGGCCCTCGACGGGGTGTTACTATTTCGCTTCACACCAGTCCAAGTGAGAGCTCATCTTCTTTATTCTATAAAAAAGTCCACCCCACGGAATTTCTTTGTGT